CCAGCTACTGAGGCTGAGTCCAAATTCAAATGCCTTAGAATCAGGGTAGCCAAAAAACGAATACACAATTCAAGGCTGAAGGCCTGCAGCCAGGGGGTAGGGCTGTCAGTGAAGGTCCTGGATGCTTGGCTCTCCCAGAGAGCCCAGAGCTCTGAAGTCCACAGAAGAAGTGTGTGTGCCAGGAGGATGAGGCAAGGGGAGAACTTCATCATTTTCCACCTGGGCTTTCAGCTGTTCAGATGATGCTGCTCACATTGGGTGAGGAGAGTCTTTCCTGAAGCCACTGATGCAAGTTTCAGGGTCTTCTAGAAAAACATCCAGAGATAACTCAACAGCAGTGCTTCTTTAGCTATCTGGGCAGTCCATAACCCAGGTCAATCATAACCCACTTGACACGCTGAAATGCCATGTCCTTGTCAATAGGACACATTCATAGTGGTGTAGCTAGGGTCACTTGCCTAGCAACATCTCCCTAAATCCCTCTTTATCTCCCAGTAGACTACAAGGCCATGGTTCTTCATAGCATGATCCAACCGTGTGGTGCATCCCAAGTATCCCCTGAACCTTTCCCGAGAGGAGAATGTGTAGTCCTTGGGTGATGTTTGCTCTCTCGACATCTGTATAACTCAAAGGTTATGGGTCATGTGATTCAGGAATAAGCTAGAGAAGACACAGGAAGGAAACAGATGCTGATTCCTTATAGTGAACTCTATACCCACAGACACTTTCTTTAAAAGAAGAAAAAGATTAATTTGCTGGGTGTGGTGGTACACAATTTTAAACCCAGAACATCGGAGGCAGAGGCAGGTGGATCTTTGTGAATTCAAGGCCAGCTGTGTCTACATAACCAGTTCCAGGTCAGCCAAAGCTATTCAGCTAGAAACTGTCTGAAGTGTTTTTTTTTTTTAATTTACTTTTATGTGTATGGGTGTTTTACATGCATACATGTATGTGCACCGCATGTGGGCATTGCCCATGGAAGCCAGAAGAGGGTGTTGGATACTCCGGAGCTGAAGTTACAGGCAATTGTGAGCTGCCACGCTGCTACTGTGAACCATATCCAAGTCTTCGGCAAGAACATCCAGTGCTCTTAACTGCTGAGACATCTCTCTAGACACGTTATTAAAAGAGGAAGTGCTGTAGCTTCTGCAATCTTTGCTGCTGTCTCTGGTCACGTCACCTTATCTAGTGTTCGGAAATGCTGTCTTCCACCGCCCATTCTGCAACCCATTTGCCCTTGGCTGCTCTTGGTTCTTACCTGGCAGGCGACTTTTTGGCATGTTCACTTTTCCCTGGCATGTGAGTCCTTGTGGTTCCATCCATCTTAACCTGGTGACACCAGGGACACCCTAAGGAAGCCCTGAACTACAGATCTCTTCTGGTAGTCATGGCCAGACATTCCACGATCCCTAACTCCTCCTCAGCTTGAGGAACTCAGATCGACTGTGGTGTTTGTTGTGCCTCCTTGCAGAAGCGCTCCCTGTTCTGGGACCAAGCTTTCTAGGCCAGTAGAGCATACGGTTGTGCAAACAGGAAGCAGAAATCTTGCTTGGGTCTCCAGGGGTGGTGGTTAGTGGTTCCATTTCCATAGCCACCCCTTGATTTCTGGACCCATGAATCGTGACTGTGGGAAAAACAGTACCGGACACAGGATGCTGAGTCAGAGAACATTCAGCCTTCTGGAGAATTCTGCTGTAAGCCAGCTGTTTCAGAGTGGTGGCGACACAGTTAGACATGTGGGTTACATGGATGTGGCCTCAGGCTGTTCTTTACTTGTCGCCAAGTGTGTTCCTGTCCCAGAGGCACTGCAGTATCCCCGAGGTTCAAACATGATGTTTTATGCCAGCTTTTGGGAGTTGTCTCATTTTAGGAGGGCAGAATCCTAACAAATGGGATCCACGTTTTAATAGAAGGAGCGAGGGATATGTTCACTCATCCCTCCGTGCTGGGACATAGCAGGGAGGCGCCGTCTGAGAGGAACAGGTCTTTCCCCAGACAACTGATCTTCAACTTCTCATTCTTTAGAAGCCCGAAAGACAGATTTCTGTTTTAGAGTTACCAGTCTAGGGCTGGGGAGATAGCTTAGTTGGTAGTACTTGCTTTGAAAGCATGATGTCTTGAATTCAATCCCCAAAACCCACATAAAAAAGCCTAATATGCTGGGGTCTGCTTATAATCCCAGTGCTGAGGAGGCAGAAACGAGGGCGGGACTGTCACTGGGGCTCAGTGGCCGGGCAGATTAGTTGTAGTGGTCTGAATGAGACATGTCCTTTATAGGCACTGGTATTTGAACACCCAGTCCCCCGTTGGTGATGCCCTTTGGGGAAGTTTAGGGCAGTCTTGCTGAGGCAGGGGGCAGATAGGCTCTGAGGGCTTATGGCTCCACTTCCAATCACTCTCTCTGCATTGTGCTTACAGCTTTCCATGGTTAAAGATGGGATCTCTCCATGTCTACCGCTTGTTGCTATGCCTTCCTGCTATGCTGGACTCATCCGTCTGGACCTGTAAGCGAAAATAAACTCTTTCTTCCATAAGTTGCTTTTGGCCATGGTGTTTATCACAGTAACACAAAGTCCACTAGAACACACCCCAGCTCCTTGCTTGTATTTCTTCCCCAAATTTCTTTGTCATTCATTTTCGAATCAAGTTTATTCTAAGTCCCTAGTCATTCAGCAAAGCCACTAGATGTAGTCCAAGAACTGATTTATAATCCAGGCCTAGCCATTTCTCTTCCCAAGCAAAGGGCATAGCCAAGTTCACTGGCCAACAAAACTCTGCCATCTGAGAGGGTCCCCTCACCACTGTCCTGGAGGGGTGTTCAAAAAGGTCCGCAGCATTGCAGCTGTCAACTTGTGGGATATGCCCACATAACCTGGTGTCTTACTTAGGGTTTCCATTGCAATAAAACACCAAGACCAAAAACAACTTGGGGAGAAAGAGGTTTGTTTCATCTTACACCTGGTGCCACAGGCTGTCACTGAGAGAAATCAGGGCAGGAACTCAAGCAGGGCAGGAACCTGGAGGCCAGAATTGAAGTAGAAGCTATGGAGGAGGGCTGCTCACTGGCTTGCTCCTCATGGTTTGCTCAACCTTCTTTCTTATACCCAAGGGTGGCACCGCCACCTGTGGGATGGGGCACCACTGCCTAGGGATGGGCCCACTCACATCAAGCATCAGTCAAGAAAATGTACCACAGGCTTTCTACAGGCCAGTCTGCTCCCTCTTCCAAAACGACTCTACCTGTGTCCAGTTGACATAAAATTAGCCATTACACTTGGGTAAGCCAGGCACAAGTCATTCTTTATCCTTCCATCTGGTCGTAGGATACTCTCCATGAGGCTACAACTGTCAACTGGGAAGAAATGAAGCAGTGACATCTGGGTCACTTCATCCTGGTACTTACTCTGTGTTTTCAAGGCCCACTTAGACCCAATCAGATTGCTCACTTCCATCTGAGGCTGGGCTGCTGTTGAACACACCCAACTTTTTGACATGTGGTTCATGATGGGCAGCTTAGGATGCACAGTAATGTGTGAGACAAGTTTCTATGAATACCCAGTAGCAGCCCAGAGCAGACTTTCATTAGGGAAGTGGCTGTCTGCAAATAAGGGCGGGCCTTCACTCCACAATCTAGCAGGGCCGTCTGCTGCTATTTCCCTATGTGGTCAAACCAAAGCCTCTGCCACTGCAATCCCAATCCTAGCAGCTCTTCTGTGAGGGTCAAAGAGCCCCCATGGAAGAACATCTGAACCTGTTGGAGAGCCTTCCCCTGTTGGAGGCATTTGCATAGTTTAGTAAATACCTGAGCAACACACCCAAGTGAGGAATATGAGAGGCTGTGCTTTTTTTGGTTGGGGGTGGGAGTCATGTGTAATAACTCATCTTTCCCTGGAAGAGATGTTTTGACATGCCTGAGTATCTTATGCTGTAATTTATTTGAATCGACTTTCCTCCCTGACACACCAGTGTTTTACCAAGAAGTCAGTAGTTGCTATTTCTGAGTCGCTTGATCCAGTCAACATGACATCAGTGCTACAGGACAATGATGAGGAGGGCCAGAAAGGTCCTTAAGTTCCTTGTGAACCAAACTGTGGACCAGGACTGGAGAGCAGAGACTCTGAGGAAGGATGGAGAAGGTGGCCTTGCCAGATGAAAGCACACTGACTCTGATGGGCCTTATGGAGAGACAAGGGTAGGGAAAGAGGTGTTGTCAGCCATTGCTGCCCATCACCAGGGCACATGTTCATGCATCCGGTCTGGGAAACAGCACCTAGTAGGGAGTCTGTGGTTGGAGTTACTACCTGGGCAAAGCTGTGGCAAATCCCACTGTCTTCCTCTAGTGTCCTCCTGTCAACTGCTCAGGCCAGGAGGAGAGCTGAGTGTGTGTGTATGTGTGTGTGGTGACATAATGGTGGTGATGGAAGTTACTACTTGTGTTTTTTTTTTTAATAAAAAAATGTTTATTTATTGTGGGCTGTGGTGGTGGGTACATATGCCACGGAGCACATGTGAAGGCCAGAGGCAGCGCGTAGGAGTTGATTCTCTCCTTCCACCATACAGGTCCTGGGGATGGAACTCAGATAACCAAGTTTGGTGGCAGGTGCCTCTACCCACCGAGCCATCTTAGCAGCCCCATTTTTACTTTTCGGAGAGAGTCTTACTCTGTAGACTAGGCTGGCCTGGAACTTGCTATGTAGCTCAAACTGATCTTGAACTTATGGTGACCCTTCTGCCTTTGCCTCCTGAGTGCCTGGCTTACAGGCATGTACCACCATGTCTGGGTCACCCTGCATCGTGCAGTTCCAGTTTGCTGCATGGTATCTGCAGTCCCCCTGAGGACTAGCAGTGCACTCACCTCACTAGCTCCCCAGTTGGAAGTGGCTCTAGTCTAGTGCTTCTCTTGGCCTTTGTTACCATAGCAACTCTTATTGCTTAGGTCAGGGAGCCAATTAATATCCTGTTGCTGGCTAAGTATATCTGTTCCTTTTTTTCTTTTCTAGATCTAGGGAAATGATCAGAGAATGGAATTAGGGACCTATAAGTTCTCAATGAGATGGATCAGACCTGACGCTCTATGGGTTTTCTTCCCACTGTAAGTCCTGACTCTGACTGTGGGGCCACCATAAAGATCTAGTCTTCTGGACTCGGTGTCGATCAAGGCCCTGAACACGCTGCTCATTGCCTCTTCTCCAGGGCAGTCTCCCTGAGAAAGGATCTTGGGTCCACTTGGAGGAAGGAAAGAGCCACAAGACTTATGGGCATTGTGGCAGGATTTCTCCTGTAGGCTCCCCTTCATGCAGAAGCTCAGATCCATAAACTGGCTCTTGTCTGGGGATTGCTAGAGTCTATGACCTTTTGTTTTTAAGACTCAAGTTACACTTTTGCTCACAGATCCTGGAAGTTTTCCATAGAAAGATCCAACAAGAAGATAGCAGACATTCTCTCTGTTTCCCCGAAGGATCTCCGTGATCAATCCAGCCAGCACCACAGGTCCGCACTAACCAGACTGCTCAGACTGTGGCTTTGTCTCTGCACGCCATTATAGTAATTGCGGCCACTGTGCTTATGCCCGCTGAGGACTCCCACATGGCCCATGCCACCCTGAGATCCAGTGACTGTCACTGAATTTGAGTTTTCCAATTGACTAGCTTTGGTTTCAGTGTAAGGTAGTCTTTAGGGATGAGCAGTCACAGAGCAGTGGAAGGATACTGCCCCTGCCCCCTTGCCCCAAGTCTGATTCTCATAGTTATGGTGAAGGTCAACCTTTTGGATGTTTCCAGTATGGGAAAACGAGTTTAACAAGTTGAATCTAACCTAGAATACTCAGCTTCCTATGTCCTTAATTCACCCCTCTACATAAAACCATCTAAGTCTCCTATATCTGATTCCTTCACCATGGACACCATGTAATTCCCCCCCACAAAAATCAGTCTGATTTACTAACTAACTAACTAACCAATTAATAACTAACTGCCTTTTTTTTTTTTTTTTTTTTTTTTTTTTTTTTTTTTTTTGGTTTCACTATACAGTTCTGACTGACCTTGGTTTGTAAATCAGGATGGCCTTAAATTCAGAGATCTGCCTGCCTCTGTCTCCCCAGTAATGGGATTAAAGGAGAACACCACCGGGCCTGGCTTTAATCCTCGTGATTCCTGGAGCTGCATCATTAGACACAGATCTCTGTCCAGTGCTCCCATACGGATACATCTGTCGTGATCCAACTGTATGCTTGACCCTGTCCTACCTTGCTGTCTCATTTGCTGTCTATCACCACACGAGATCAAACGATTTCCTTTTCACTAAGTTTCTTGTCTGTATAAAATGGAGAACTCAATTCTTCTAGAGTGTAGTGTATATCCTTATGGGTCGCACGCTGTTCTGCATGGGCACACACCTTTACTTGTAAGTCTGCAAACCATTGTGTTGGTTAGTTTTCATTGTCAACTTGACACAGACCTAGTGAAAAGGGAACCTCCGTTAAAGAATGGCTGTATCTGTGAGAGACTGTCTTGACCTATAATTGATGTGGGAGGGCCCGGTCCACTGTGGGTGTCGCATCTCTGGAGTGGTGGGCCTGGGCTGCATAAGAAAGTCAGCTGAGCATGGATTGATCAGGCCAGTTAGCAGCATGCCTCCATGGTTCCTGACTCCTGGTTCCTGCCTTGAGCTCTTGCCCTGACGTCGCTCAGTTATAGGCTATTACCTACAAATGCTACCCGAATAAATCCTTTCTTCCCCAAGTTGCTTTTGGTCATGGTATTTATCACAGCAATAGAAGAGCAAAGTAGAACATACAAGGAGAGGTGGTGCTGGAAGGGACCAGTTGTTGTCCTGCCTGGTCCTTGTTGTTGCCTTGGGCATCATAGACTTCCTTCAGGTGGACAGGGAGGCCCCATCTATGGGGTAGGAGCCACTGCTTTGATTTTAAAGCATTATTTTATTTTTAATTGTGTGTGTATGTGTGAGCATATACTGCATATGTGGAGGGGTTACCCACAGAGGGCAGAGATGTCAGATCCCCTGGAGCTAGAGTTATAGGGAGTTATGAGTCCTCTGACACGGGTGCTAATAGTTGAACTCAGGTCCTCTGGAAGGGCGATATGTGCTCTCAACCACCAAGCCATCTCTCCTGCCCGTGGGAACCACACGTGCTGACAAGAGAGGTTCATCAGAACACAGGGTCTTGGTGTCCCCAGATTTATGAGGGTCTCCCCACATGACCCCATCCCAGCTTTCAGGATCTATTCTTTCCCAGTCAATGTCCTCGTTTCAATAGTAGATTTACCTTGCATTGTGAGCTAGTGAGTCTAGAATGAGGTTCTGTATTTGACTTCCAGCACATTTGCTCTCTGAATCTGCAGGAAACAAGGCTGCCCTTCACAACACATGAGCTTGAAGACCATCTGTGTGATGTTTGATAGGAAGTGCAAACCCTGAGCTCATCCTTTTGGTCACCTGGTCGAGAAATATTAGAAGCCAAGGACTGATGTCTTAGCTTTCAAGAACTCTTTAGAAGTTTCATATGCAGAGTTACTTAGCTCCTAATTTCTTAGTAATAATAATAGAGTTATTAGTGTTTTAAATCTAGAGAGACAAGATTATCAATTCTAAAAAATGCTCTTGGCACAAAAATGTATATTAGTCAGCATTCTCCAGATAATGTGTGTATGTATTTAATAAGTTATACATAATGACATTCTGTCCATCCATCCATCCATCCATCCATCCATCCATCCATCCATCCAGGATGTGTAATGTTGTCAGGATCTAGAATCACCTAGGAAACAAGTCCCTGAACACACTAGTGAGGGATTATCTAGATTAAGTTAATTGAGATGGGAGGACCCGCCCACTGTGGATGGCACCATTCCCTTGGCTGGCATCTGGGACTGTATGAAAAAGAGAAAGTGAGCTGAGCAAAGATGGTCATTGCTCTGAGACACAAATGGCCAGGTCCTTCAGGCTCCTGTTGCCTAGACTTCCCTGCCATTATGTATTGTACTTTGAACGACGAGTCAGAATAAATCCTTTCTTCCTAAAGTTACGTTTGTCAGGGCATTTTATCACAGCAACAGAAAGGTAACTAAAATACCACCTATCATCTGTATTTATCTATCTATCTGTCTGCCTGTTTGTCTGTCTGTCTCTATCTATCTATCTATCTATCTATCTATCTATCTATCTATCTATCTATCTACCATCTACCTTCCTACCTCCCTATTTACTTACCAGTCATCTAAAGTGAAAATCTGATTCATATGTCCCACACTTCTTGACTGCATCTGGAAATGAGGGACCTCAATTGTGTGATTCAGTCCATAGACAGATGCCCAGGAATCAGGAGGTCCGGTGGTGTGAATCTTGTCTGAGGGCAGGAGAAGTCCAATGCCTCAGCTCCAGTGATGAGGCAGCAAAAAGGAGGCAAATTAATTTCTCCCCTATTTTCTACTCTGGATCTCAGTGGCCTAGGAAGGTTATCTACCTCACTTTTTTTTGGGGGGGGAAAGGGGAGCAAAGAGGTACTTTATTTTTGACATTGCAGGGAGACATTTAAGAGTTTTTAATTTTTAAAAAGGTTTTTAAAATACTTAAATTTTATAAGGCTGTGAGACATCTGTGCTTATAAAATGTTTTATATTGTTAATCTTTGAACTTAAAATAAAAGGTTAAAAGTTAGGGTCAGAACCATAAGCACCAAATGCTAACCAGAAACCGGGATGTTCATTTTTTGTAATGCAGCAAGACAATGACCTAAGGAGTCTAGCAAAGGGCTTGAAGCAATTTCTCAGCCCATTGAGTCTCGACCCTTTGGTGGTTAAAAAAAAAAAAAAACAACCCTTTTTACAGGGGTAACCTAGGACCACCTGCATGTCATATGGTTTCATTAAGATTCATAACAATGACAAAACTGCAGTTGTAAAATAACAACTGGAAAATTTTTGTAATAGGAAATTATATATATAATTTTTTCGTTTTTTGAGACAGGGTTTCTCTGAAGCTTTGGAGCCCGTCTTGGAACTTGCTGTATAGACCAGGGTGGCCTTGAACTCACAGAATTGCGCCTGTCTCTGCCTCCCAAGTGCTGGGATTAAAGGCACGCGTCACCCCTGCTGGGCCACCAGCCTCACTGTTTCTCCTGGCTACTTGCTCCTAGCAGCACCCTCGGGGATGCGCATTGAGAGGCAGGGTTTGAACTGAATACCTCTGGTCAGTCAAGTTGGCATATCCAAGCCACCGTCACACTGGGCTAAACCGTGGGTGTCTGTCTTATGTGGTTTAGTGTCTTCCTCCATCACGGCCTGCACCAGCAAGTTAGGGACCTCTTAGGTCACAGTGGAGGTGAAAAGCCAGGACCAAAGACATACATGTCAGGCCTGGACATGGTTGTGGGCCACTCACTACTCCTGCACCAGCCCAGTGTGTGATAGATAATCTTTACTGTCAATTTGACAGGATCCGAATCACCTAGGAGACACACTGGTGTGTCATCTGTGAGGAGAAAGTGATCCTCACTTCATAATAGGCGTCCTGGAGACTCAGAGCAGCAGGAACACAGCAGTTTATCTTAACTCGTCAACAGTTGGACACCAGTCTGGCGTGGCAGGCACACTGACTGAATGCAGAGAACGGTTTTTCTAAACCAATGGTCCTTCCTCCCTTTTATGAATACCCAGGAAGGTGGGAGCTTACATGTTATCTAGGTCTTATCTTCCTTCTGTGGCTTTTCTTGACAAAAACCTTGTGTGGGTTCGCTCTGTGTTTTAGAGCCTGTTTATTTTAACGCTTATCAGACGCACCATCTTGCAGGGAGGCTTGTCTGGTAGAAGTCATAAACTTTAAACTCCGAGATGGTGCGCAGTTTAGGAGAGTTTGGATATATTGGGTTGTGAAGAGAGAATAGCTGCACTAGCAGGCATCAGCAGGGGTCTAGTGTTTTCTTTTCATTGGTAACTGGACTTAAGGTTGCTCAGGGCCCATTTGGAAATGAACTACCAGGTTTTATTTCTAACAGGTGGTTCCAGAGCGGTCTAACCCAGCAGGAGTGAGTACCTTCCAGCAGGTGACCCAGTATAAAAAAAGTCTAAAGAAAAGCAGTGTTGCTTGCCTTCCCTTGGTCTGGAGTCCGTGTGTCTGTCTCTGCTGCAACTGTCCTCTTCTGACGTCAGACTGAAGCATCTTCAGCCTTCTTCCAACACAAATTGCACACTAGTGACTCCCCAGGAATCCTCCAGACCTTCAGCACCAGACTGGGACTGCCAAGGTGATCAACTTTGTGGACTAAACAGCACCTCTAGTATTGTGTAAGTCACTCTAACAAATCCTTCTTTATAACCCATGTTTCTTCTATTAGTTCTGTCTCTAAAGAACTCCATTTAATCCAGTTTGTGGCTCCAGTAGCAGATTCTAGAGAGGCAGAATCCTAAGGATGCATTTCTCTAGTGGACTTGATGGTGTCTGGAGCTGGCTCTCCAGTTCATCTACACCTAAAACTGCTAAAGACGTGATGGTACTCTGGAAGTGGGGAGAGAGCATTGCTAGTCCATCTTGTGAATTAAAGAACTGTGCAGCATGCGCACATGCACACACATAAATAAATAAGTGAACGTAACTTTAAAATGAAAATAAGAGGAAAGAGAATGGCTCTTCTAAGAATGGAAGTGGACTGAGAGCTGGGAAAAGCTAGAAGCTCTGATGGCGTTCAGCCAGGGCAGTCATGAGCTGCTGTGGGTCATTTATATCGCGGCTACATGCTCCACATTTGGAACATTTGAGAGCAGGAGCTTTAGTCGGGTGTAATCTGTCCCTTAGATGCAGCCCCTAGTTGGATGTTTCCAGTCTTCCTCTACCATTGGTTTCTTTCATATGCTAATTATTATCCTCTTTTCCCCCAGCATGCTATGCTAATGGACAGCAGAGACACCAAGCAGTGTCCATTATGGTCCAACTGGGATAGCTTAGTGGTCTGTGTTCCCAAAAGAGCAATAGATAGGGGGAGGGGTTACTTAGCACCCACTCCATCTGTATAAGCAAATTCCAGAGCAAATGAAACATTTACCTTGAGGGACTGGAAAGCCAGCTCAGCGTTTTGGAGCACTGACTGCTTTTCTAGAGGGCCTGGGTTCAATTCCTGGCTCCCTCATGGCAGTTTACAGTAATCTGTAGTGACTCCAATCCTAGGGGTTCCAATGTCCGCGGTAGTCCTCTGCAGGCACCACACACGCAAGCGGTATACAGGCATGCGTGCAGGCGGAACACCCATACATATAAAATAAATGTAAACAGTTTTAAAAGTTTACTTTGAATTGTAGCGACTGTGAATCACAGTTTCTCAACAAATGCCTAGACATGGCAGCTTACAGAGCCAGAACCTCTTGAATGAAGGAGAAGCAGGTTCCCCTCAGGAGTCTGTGTCACACTTCAGAAAGTTTTACAGTCAGCCAGTCTTTCTCCAAAGAAACCCATGGGCTTTGATTAGAGTAACTCACATCCAGGAAAAGGAAATAACCAGTCTTTTCAGGGCCTGTTAGAGACTGTCTCTGAACTGACACTGGTTCTGGAGACCGCCTCCAAAGTGTCATGGGTATCCAGTTAAGTTAGGGCCTGTGGAGGTCAGGTGATGGATGGAGTTTCTGCCAAAGTCTGACTCACAGTGGGTCCAATGGACCCACAAGCTCTGTCCAGTGGGAGAGATATACTTAGAGATTGGCAGCACCCCAGCGTTGGTTGTCAGACCTGTGGAATGAGGGCTATTATGGTCCAAAAGGCCGAATGGAAGCCCTTAGTTGCCTCTACCAGGAAAAATCATGAACCAGAAAGAGAAAATACCCTGGCAGGATTACGGAAATTAATGCCACCAGTAAGGCTTTGCAAGACGCTGCGGATAGAGTGGGGTGGGGAGATGGCTCGGTGGTTGAGAGCACTTGGCTACTCTGGCATAGGACTTGGGGTTGGTCACAGCACTCACCTGGTGGTAATTCCAGTTCATTAGTATCTGATGCCCCCCACCCCTGGCCTCCAAGGGCACTACACGCATGTGATTCATGGATACCCTTGTAGGCAAAACACCTGTACTAACACTAAGATTTTTTTTTAATGAGAGGGACTAGAGAGATGTCTTAGAGGTTAAAGGCACTGGCTGATTTCCCAGAGGATCCTAGTTCAATTCCTAGCACCCACATGGCAGCTCATAACTGTCGGTATCTCTAGTACCAGGGGATCTGATGCCCTCTTCACATGGGCACAGGCAGCATGCATGTGGTGCACAGACATACAAGCAGGCAAAACACTCGTAAACAAAGTGATGCAATGCATAGATTAAGCTGGGAAAATTGGCCCGATGCAGGGGTGGTTCCTACCATATCTCCTTTGAACTCCCCCTGTTAGCCTGTGCTTTAAAAGACAGATGGATTATGGAGAACGGCAGTTGACTATGGCAACCTAAGTAGTGACTCCAGTCACAGAAGCAATGCCAGGTGCGTCTTCCTTACTTAAGTAGATTAATACAACTTCTAGTACGTGGTATTCAGCCATCGGTCTGGCAAGTTCTTTTTTTCTAGAAACCTTTCCATAAGGGTCATCAGAAGCAGTTTGCTTCTAGCTAGCAAGGCAGTAACCTTTACAATTTTATCTCAAGAGCACATTAACGCCCAGCCCTGTGTCGTAGTTTAGTTTGCAGGGAACCTGATATATATCACACTGACCCATTACATTAATGACGTTATGCTAATAGGACTAAGGGACTGGAAAGTGACAGGCACTCGGGACTTGTTAGTAAAGCATTTTGTATTTTGGAGGCAGCAAACTCCTTACTTGGGTGTGTGTCGCTTTAGTCTCTACACCAAATAAACTCAGAAAGCTGCCAGTTTTGAGTGGGACCCAGCTGCTCTGCAGGCTGCTCTGCTGCTTGGACCATATGATCCAGCAGATCTGATGGTTATTTAAGGTGGCAGTGGCAGGTAGTGATGCTGGTTGGAGTCTTTGGCAGGTCCTTGTAGGTGATCACAGGGGAGACCCTTGTTATTCTGGAGTGTAGCCCTATCATCTATAGACAACCATGCCCCCTTTGAGACACAGCTCTTGGCTTGTTCATGGGCCTTGGTTAAACTGACATTTAACAATGAGATGTCAAGATCTGCCTCACTCATGACATAGTCTTCAGCCCTGAACGGAATGTCATTTAATCCCCTCCACTGAAGACCAGGGATCTATGCAGAGGAGGTGACGGAAAGATTTTAAGATCCAGACGTGGTGAATGGCTCCAAGGAAGCAGTGTCTTCCAGACACAACAGGATGGATGCACACCCAAACTCACAGACACTGTGACAGCACATAAGATCTGCACAGGCTCAAATCAGACAATATTCCAGCACTGAGAAGGGGAAGTGGACACAAAGCTCCGTCCCTAACCAAGACGCTATTAGCTACTGATGTATGCTGAGAAAGGAAATTAGTTTTCTCCGATGGAGTGTCATTAGGTCTATCTGGCACACTCCAGGGGAGACCCCATGCTCAGGAGCAGGTGGCCCACTCAAATCAGACTATGTTTTTGTTTCTTTTGTTCTTTTTGTTCTAACATTGGCGAGCGGGATGTCAATGACCTGAAGACACAGCTGTAGTGCTGAAAACCAAGGGACTGTGCTGAAGGAAGGAAACACAGTTCTGAGCAGAGGTTGAATGGGCAGTGGGAGACGTGAGAGAGGCCCAGACAAGGGCTTCTTGGAGAAGATGGAAAGTCTGGCAGAGCAGATCACAAATCAAAAACAGTGCTGGGAAAGAACTAGGGGCTAAATCGATACTCGGGAGGAAGGTGGAGTTGTTCCTTAGGAATGAATCTAAACATAGCTGCCACACAGCCACCAAGTGCAGTCTCCGCATTTGTCCCAAAGAAATGAAAAGCCACATCCACTCAAATGCATGCTCACACATGGAGGGTCAGGCTCTCCTCTCGCTCTCTCCCCACTACTCCTCCCCCAGCCAGAGACTTACCCTATATCCCAGACTCTCCTTCGACCCAGTACATAGTCATGGTGGTCTCAAACTCGGAGGAACACTCCTGCCTCAGCCTCCTGAGTGCTGGGATTCTAGGCGTGAATACATACATAGCAGCTTTTTTTTTAAAGATTTATTTATTTATTATGTATACAACATTCTGCCTCGATGTATGTCCGCACGCCAGAGGAGGGTGCCAGATATCAATACAGATAGTTGTGAGCCACCATGTGGTTGCTGGGAATTGAACTCTGAACCTCTGGAAGAGCAGCCAGTGCTCTTAACCTCTGAGCCATCTCTCCAGCCCATAGCAGCTATTTTTTATTTAAACACTTCTTTGAGACTGTCATACATGAGTACTCTATTTGCATTATTTTCACTTCTCCAGCTCCAGCTCCTCCCATATCCCAACCCACTCCTTCCCAAAGTCATGACCTTCTCTTTAATTGTTTATATGTATGTGCATAAGTGTACATGTATGTTTAAGTAAACAAAATGTTTCTCTTATGACCTTTTCAAACATCTTTTTGTTCATATTATCACCAAGTGTAATAGATGAAAATGTGCCTTAAAAAGTGAATGGTTGGCGGGCAGTGGTGGCGCACGCCTTTAATCCTGGCACTCGGAAGGCAGAGGCAGGAGAATCTCTGTGAGTTCAAGGCCAGCCTGGTCTACAGAGCTAGTTCCAGGAAAGGCTGCAAAGCTACACTGAGAAACCCTGTCTCAAACAACAACAATAATAAACAAACTACAACAACAACAACAACAACAACAAAAACCAAACCAAAACAAACAACAACAAAAACCAAACTGGTTGGCTAGGTGTAATGAATGTTATTCCAAATTGTGAGTAGAGACAAGAGGATCAGTTCAAAGTTATCCTCAGCTGTAGAGGGAATTTAAGGCCAGCCTAGGCTATACGAGGCCCTGACTCACTCCTTCCCAAAGGAAGATGGAGAATGTAGAGATGAGGAGATCAGGGTTGTGTGGTCATCTGGGAGGTGGGGTCTGTGGCTTTAAGAAGCATCAGGGAGGCAGTGAGGATGACGTTCTGATTATTGCGGTGGTAGTTATGCGAAGCCACACACACGCACACACGCACATGCACACTCAGGCAGGCAGTACGCACATGTGCATTCATACTCACACATGTGAGTGCAGGCACATCTGGTAGCATCTGCATCATCTGTGTGCATTGAACAAGTGATGGCTGTACTTGTTAGCATGGTATTTATGCAGATGTCTGCTTTGGGGAAGGCCGGAAGGAATAATGCACCAAGACTTTCTGTGTACTATTTGGGAATCTATAATT